GCCGCCGGCCGCGCCGCCTCCATAAACACTTGTTCAGGACTCGTTCGCCCCGCTGAGGCCCGCGGCGCCCCCAGCGCGCCATGGAGGCCCCGTCGGACCCTGAGCTCCACGCCTCGGCCTCGGCTGCGGCCGCGGCGCCCCTGCGCGCCCGGGAGGTGGGGCGCCTCCGCGAGGAGCAGGAAAAGGTAACAGGCCGCGCTCCGGCCGGGGCCCGCGCTTCCGCCCGCCGCGGTGGTCTCGGGAGGCGCCGGCTCCCCGCTCGGCCTCGGCTCCGCGTTCCCCAGACTGCGGCCGACTCGTCCCGCCGACCTTCTGCTGGCTGCTTTGGGGCGCAGCCCCTCGGCCCCGGGCCCGGCTCCCTCCCGCCCCTGCGCGGGGCGGAGCGCAGCCTCGAGGTCCGCGGAGAGAAAGTGTCGGGAGAAACTTTTGTCACGTGCTTTTGTTGTCTTTTGTGTGGAGCCCTTTGACCTTAGAGCGGAGGAGAGGGACGGGGAAGCGGGAAGTGACAGCCTGGTTTAACTTGTCCGTAAAAGTGAATTTCTAAACTCGGAATTTTGACCCGGGCGGGGCGGGGGTGTGTGTGTGGAAAGCACGCTGTAGGCGGAAGCGTTCACCTTAAATTTTTTTTAAAGCGGGTTGTGATCTAAAGGTTGCTTAAAATGTATACTTTTTGTTGCTATTTAACGATTGGACTTAAAAGTTTTACTACATTTGTAACCATGTGCCTGGATCCCAGCTTTGGTTATTTAGTATTTATCAAAGTAGAATGCTATTTTTTAATTTAAATCGTATAATGAATTTTAAAGTACCAATGAAGAGGGGAGAAAGTTTCGCACTTCTTAATGGGATTGTATATTAAAAAAAGTATACTCCAGTATAGAAATACTGTAGTTTTATTGTTAAATCTGAGATTTTTCCCCCAGTGCATTCTGTCGTTTTTTCGGGTTGGTCCTATCTCTTGAAGTATATTGAAATTCTTACTTTGAAAAGCAGTACTTAATTTACTTAAAATATCTTATGCCCTATTTGAGAAAATATCATGGACTAAGGAGTTAGGAAGTTGCTTCAAAACTATAAATAGTTTGAGAACCCCTTTTTCGACTGACCATTCCTGTATTAAAATGGCTACAAATATACTCAGTTAAATGGATGTGGATTTTCATAAACCTAAAAAGCCTTGGTTTGCTTGGAAACCACCTGTGGGATGAACTATGGGAATCTTCCCTATTTTGTTCTGGTTGGTTTAAATTATTTTGGGCATTGGGTTTCTTTTTCTCAGCCATTTCCCTTTTAATACCCCCTACAGCTGTTGGGTTTTAAACTTGGTGCCCCCCCCCTTTTTTTTCACAGTAAGGGTTTAAAAATGCAACTAGTTTGATTTATTTAAATTCTGAGACAATAGTGGATCTTAAATTTTTTTTTAAAAGAGAAAAATAGAAAAAGAAATAAATTCTTTATGAAACTTTGTTGCTAAAAAGCAACAAGGTTTTTGTTTTGGTCTTTTTGTTCTTTTAGAAAATTAGAAAATGTGAAACAGACTCCAGGGGATGTATTTCCATCCTCTTTTCATCTGTGGTGGTTACACTTACCTCCTGGGTGGTATACAGTGTGTACATAATACTGACTTGATATGTTCTCTCCCTTTTGGCCTGTTAAAAAGGGAGATCCGTGATTTTATTCTGATGTTAGTGCTGCTGAAGTACAAGGGATACTTTTGGGGTGCTCTGAACAGCTTTCTGAGGTGTTGAGTTCCATCTAAAGTAACTGCCTTTTCACTTAACAGTCCTATGGGGAACTGAATGTTTTCAGCAGACATTGACTGTACTGCCCAATTATTTTTTCTGTGTTGTGCTAATTTGTCACATGAAATAAGCTTGTGCATATCAGTCTTGGGTATATAAAATTATCCCCAATTCATGCTAAAACCCCACAGTATGAATAGATTGTATTTATTTAATAGAATGATCTGCTTTGGTGGTTAGAAGACCCATAAGGCTATATAGGATAATCTGGCTATATAGGATATACTTTAATTGTAGTCTAGTATGGGAAAACTTTATATAGTAAACAGTCAATTAAAAATTTTTGTGAGAAGTTTATTTAGACCTTAAAGCCAAGCCAATTGTAGGAGTGCAGTGGACTCTAGTACAGTGGAAGCATGGTGATATTCTGCGTGTAGGTGGGAAGGGTATAGTAGCAGCAGGTGCCACAAAAATACCAAAATACACAGTAGCTTTGTATTTTTGTTGCACCTACCATCCCTTTAGGTGAATTGGCTCAAACATGTCTTTAAGCTCTTGGCTTTTCCCTATCTGGGTTCAATGAGAGAGAATTAAACCTTAAGGAAAATTATTTTTAATGACTGTTTTCTCAGTTTTCCCTGGGATGGTCTGCAGCTAGTTGGCTGTATCTTTATAGAGGAAAATTAGTTTCTCAACGTACACTAGGCTTCAGGGCACAATTTTCTCTGGGAACCTTGGTTGAGAGGGGCTGGTAGATAATGTGGTTTAAATATGGCTTACTTTTTTTTCATTTATTTTTATTTTTATTATTGTTTCAGGTTAATTTGAGGGTACGAAGAATTAGGTTAAGTGTTTTAGTAGCATTTGTTAGGTGGAGTCTCTCTTATGTTTGAGCCACACACCCCTGCATTGGTCCCTGTAGGTGGAGCCACACCCACCCCTTTCCTCCCTGCTGCCTGCTCTTTTTACAAAATTTTGGCTAAGGAGTATGATAAGTTTTACCTTGTCCCATTTTATTGTTGCTGTTGTTGTTTGTTTTCTGGAGCACTGAATAAAAAGGACAAAAATCGATAACCCGAGAGAAAGGACAGACAAGGGGCATGAAGGAGCCACAGTCCCAGTGAGTGACAATATCTGTGGTAAATGGACAGAAGCAAATTTTTTTTTTTTTTTTTTAGATGGAGCCTCAAGCTATCCCCCTGGGTAGAGTGCCATGGCATCACAGCTCACAGCAACCTCCAACTCCTGGGCTCAAGCGAGTCTCCTGCCTCCACCTCCCAAGTAGCTGGGACCACAGGCACCCGCCACAACGCCCGGCCATTTTTTGGTTGCAGCCATCATTGTTGTTTGGCGGGCCCGGGATGGGGATTCGAACCCTCCACCTTAGGTGTATGTGGCTGGTGCCTTAGCCACTTGAGCCACAGGCGCCAAGCCCAGAAGCAAATATTTTAACATTGCTTTCACTTTGACTTACAGAATCAATGCTGAAACAGTTTTAGAAAAACTTTTTTGAGTTTAAACTTTGGTTTGTTCCTTTTTTGTTTTAGCAGAAAGACATGCGGAAAAGTGTCCTGTAGCTTTGTGTATGCAATTACGTAGGCATTAAAACCTGTAGGACAATGGGTACAGTATAGTTCAGATATGTTTATGTGTATGTAGTAAATATTCACACTATATAGGAAGACACATTGTTTTAAAAATGCATGATTTCATTTCTTATTTTACCCCAAATTTGTGAAATAGGATGTGATGGGATTTTAGTTTTTACCCTAAAGGCTACTGATAAAGCTTATTTTAATTAATTGTAATGAAAACTGGGATGTTGTTTTTTTTTTTTTTTTGTAGAGACAGAGTCTTACTTTGTCACCCTTGGTAGAGTGCCATGGCATCACCCACGGCACGCAACAACCTCCAACTCCTGGGCTCAGGCAATTCTCTTACTTCAGCTTCCGGAGTAGCTGGGACTACAGGCACCTGCCACAATGCCTGGCTATTTTTTGTTGTTGTTGTTGTTGTTGGAGTTTGGCTGGGTTCTGTTTGAACCTGCCACCTCTGTATATGGGGCCGGCACCCTACCCACTGAGCTACAGGCACAGCCCTGGGATGTTGTATTTTAATATTTTTTTTTTTTTGGCTGGGGCTGGGTTTGAACCCACCACCTCTGGTATATTGGGCCAGTGACCTCCTTGAGCCACAGGTGCTGCCCCATGTCATATTTTAATTACTAAACACTTTCTTGAGCCTGAAAAATGGCTGGTTTGAACATAAGATTTATTTATTGGTTACTTTAGAGCTGATACATATAATTTAGTCAAAACAATCAACTTCCATTTGAAATCCTTTCCCTCAGAGGGTTGTTTAATCTTAATTCTCTGTCAAAAGACACAGGGAGAGGAGGGAAACTTACAGTTTTTTTCTTTTAACTAAATCTGTTTTTACCAACAGCAATAAAATATTAGGTGTGAAAATATAAGCTACTTGGGTGCCTGGCTAGACTGTGACCTGCACTGTACAATCTGTGATCTGGGGCTGCTGTGGAGCACCTTGGGCTGCTCAGTGAGGTCTCCTTGTACTAAGGTTTTTGTTAAATATAGTTCTATGCTAGAATTGCATTATGTTGAAATTTTGGTTTCTTGGTTAAGGTGATGTTTCTGAGATATTTGTATTTTATATCTCCATATACTGTTATCTTTTATTAGTAGAATTACTGAGATTTTATTGTAATATTTTATTTATTTATTTTTTTTTTTGAGACAGAGCCTCAAGCTATCCCTCTGGGTAGAGTGCCGTGGCTTCACGGCTCACAGCAACCTCCAACTCCTGGGCTCAAGCAAGTCTCCTGCCTCAGCCTCCTAAGTAGCTGGGAC